CACAATATATTTAAATTGTACAGTCTTTGATCACAATAGGTAATTAAAATTAAATCACATTTGAAATTGTGTATTAAGTTTTTCATATCTACATACCGAAATAAAAGCGTTTTCATCTCGACAATTCCCAGTTGTAAGGCTTTATCTACGCTCGACCTAATTTTCCGGATTTGAAATTCAAATTAAAACTATACAGAATGTTACGCGAAATGTGAATCAGAAGTAATAATTAATTTTATTAGAAAAAAATATATTCTTTTAACTCTCTTACTTCATAAAATAATACTGATGGTAGAAGTCACGTCACAGAGTTATTGGAAAAGTAGATATTGGTAATCATAGATTAGGTATTTTCTAGCCGTACTACTATAAGACTCTTTAATGGTATAGAGGCTAATGAGCAGACAGGCCCCATCGCATCACATCACATCAACAGTATTTAATAGTCCACTGCTGGACATAAGCCTGTCCTCCATGGGGACCTACAACTCCAGAGCCCGAGCTCCGAGCTCCACTAACCCCACACTACCGGTGAAACGAAACGAAACAATAGCTAAATACCGATTTTTAATGAGGCCGTGATTTCACTCCGGACGCGCCGGACGAGCAGGCTGATTTTTTGCTCATCAACATGGCTCCCCGATGAATGAACGTAATATTTATGATAGCATTGAACGCCGTAACTAAATAAAACTCAGTATATAAAAAAATGTGCAACGAACATTGAAAACATATAACATATTTTTAACATTGAAAAATAACGACATATAATTAAACGACAAATGTATACGTACGTGTTGAGGAAATTATATATAAATATATTATATATAAATTGAAATATGATTAAAATGTATTGTGCCTCTTACAAATATATATATATATGTAAGGATTTATAAATAAAAAAATTTGGAAGAAGAAAACATTGTATAAGCAAAGATTTTCAGGCGGGCCTGTTGGTCTAGTGGTTAGTAGCCCTGACTGCTAAGCCGGAGGTCGTGGGTTCGATTCCCACCCAGGACAAATATTGTGTGATGAGCACGGTCATTTGTTCTGTGTCTGGGTGTAATTTATCTATAATATGTATGTATTTAAAGATATACTCGTATAAGTATGTTTATCAGCACTCTGGTTACCATAGCACAGGCTCTGCTTAGTTTAGGATCAGACGGCCGTGTGTGAGATGTGTGAAGTTATTATTATTTACAATAACGAGAATATTAGCGACATCGACTAAAATTACTAACATATTGTTGTATGTAGCGAGCTCAAAAACGTTCGTATCAAAAGCCTGTGACCCGATTTCTCTCTGTCAATAGCTCCTATCTCCCCACTTAGTTCTCAACGTGAACCTCAACCACGTCACAGCGCTGCAGTTAGTGACTATCGAATTTTGATAAAACTTTTACCTTGTTTTACGAAATTTCTAAAAGAGTAAATCTTTTTATTAATTTAGTATAGAGAAACACACTGAAAGAAATAGGGCACGTGGCACAAAAGTCTATTAAAATTATTAAGAAAATAAGAGTTACATTTCAAAACTTGCTCTTGAAGTGTTGTATCATTTGGTTTTTTATCCACATTGATCAATCAAGAGAAATTATCCGTCCGAGAATTTATTTTAGTCGGTTCGATTCCGACGCACTAACCGTGGGCCCCGGTAGTGATGGTATGTAATGGTTTCCATACGATAATAGTATCCTACTGTACTCACCGGTCCCGCGACACAGGATTTAGGCCGTCTTAGTTAAAAGTAATAAAGGTTTTATCACCTAAAATTAAAAGTTGTTACCAAAATCTATAATATTTATGTGGCTCTCATTAAAGAACATTTCAATAAATTTCTATTCATTCAACAGGTCAATATTCAAACAAGCCTTGAGTAAAGCTTGATAACAATTTATTTTTCAAGTCAGACAAGTTCAAAACCCACATCAAAAACTTTTTCTTCATTTTAATATCAACCAAAGTACTCAAAAGTTAAACTCTGCAGGATATTGTGAGGAAATATAAGAGAGGAATAAATAAATCAAAAGAGCGCCTTCCTAACTCCTTTGTAGCAACGTTTTGTCAATGTTGTACCTTTGATTTCGCATTGTTCGAGACTGACGTAGTATCAGTTCCTTACCTACTTATATCGTAAGGTATAAATAAACCAGCATTTGGTCGATCATTGTTTACACTTTGTTTGTAACTTAGAAGATATTAAAAGAATTAAATAACATAACTACAAACTGTATTTTTGTCATGCAGAACTTGAGCTTACATAAGAGCCATAGAGCACAATGTTCTTTAAGTCATTTTTCCTAACATAAGATATGATATTCTAACATATATACTATGATGTTTTCCCTGTCAGAATTACTTCACAGAAATTCCTAAGAGATTTGAGGTCACGTAAGACATGAAACTTTAGAAATAACTGAAGTAAACTGATCATGCAGTACCTGTCTATTAATTAGACGGACTCTCCTCACCACACATACTATATAATATTAATACTTGACATTAACTTTGAATAAGTTTATTCAACTTTGTGACCTACTTTCTCCTTTGGATTTCGATTTGACGTATGCTAATATAAGTTTATTTTTACTTTTAATAATTTCTAGAGAACTTAATAACAAGTTTTAATTCATTTCATTCCAAAAATATGTCACACCACTGTTAAAAGTTCATGCGATTTAGGTAATTTTCAGCCAGTCAGTCACAAATTAAGTAAGTTTTGTAAGAAAGTATTTGACATTAGATTTTTTTATATAAACTTAGGAGAACGAGCTAAGCCGCTGAAAAAGCTAGTCTAACACAGACAATATAGATCCATATAGGAGGTAATTTGAAGTTAATGCCACCCGCATCATGAGCTCAGATATATCAGCCTTTGAAAAGCCGTACCTTCAATTCAGTAGCATTCAATATTGTTAAATCCTCTTAAGCTTTAGACTTAAAACCTTAAATAATTTTATAAAATAAATTAATCTGCAGTAATTAGTAGAAGATTGTATAGATAAATATTTAGGGTATATGATGTATGAAGACAAAAAAAAAATAGTAGCATTTGTTCATAATAACACTACACATGCAAGATGACCCACTACTGACTCGTTTGAATTTTCTCCGGTGTCTCCCCAGGATTTTAAGAAGATTATTCTTTCCATCCGGTCTAATGCCGTGGGATGTGATGGCATTAGCCATCGCATGATTGTCACCATCCTAGACTGTATTCTCTCAGTAATTACTCAAATAATCAACTTCTCACTCGACTCCGATACATTCCCCTCCTTGTGGTACATGGCTTATATTATTCCTCACCCAAAAAATAATAACCCTTCACTTCCTGAACACTTTCGGCCTATTTCTTTTCTTCCATTTTTATGTAAAGTACTCGAGGCCTGTGTAAAACAACTGTCACAGTTTGTATACAGCAACCAACTTTTAAGCCCTTTACAATCCGGCTTTAGGCCCAGCCACAGCACAGTTACCACTCTCCTTAAAGTGACTGGCGATATTAGGAAGGGCATGAAAGGCACCAAAGTCACAGTATTAACATCACTTACCTCTCTATTTTCATTTCTTAACCCATCGTTCTCACCTACTTACCTTGCTCCTTACTTCCGTTACCTGTCTACTAATCACGACAGAAATCTTCGCTCAGATAACAATCTGCTTCTCTTATGTCCCTCCCACAACTCCCACTTCGCGAAATCTTCGTTCTTTGTTCAAGCAGTACTACTCTGATATGCGCTCCCGCTAGAAGTCAGCATTTTTCAAACCGCTTTATATTCAAAAAGAAGGTACATGCTCTTCTTCTTAATGAAATGGCAGAACGGTCTAATCCATAGTTAAGTATACCTCATATTCCTGTATTCATAGTGTACGAATATAACATGTCTATGTGTCTATATAAATATGCTTGTATATATATGTATTTGTATATATGTGTATTTATGATGTGTAGTGTTATATGTGTGCATAAGTGTATGTATATGTTTATGTATGTCGTGAACCGTAAATATTTTCATAGAACACTTCTTATTATGACGTAACCTGTGTGCACCTACCTTACAAGATTTCTACACCACCCAAAGGTTGACTGGAAGAGAATGCCCTGGGCATTAAGTCCGCCGATGTACAAAAGTGCATAAAGTTAAATAATCAGAGTCATAAAGCTTGATGACTGACAGTGATACGATTACTATTATAAAAAAAATTTGTAATATCGCAATAGGCCTTTAAATTTTAAATGACATTAAACCAAAAAGAAATCACTTTAAACTATATTACAACAACCATTAATCCTCCTTGATTTCATTTTTCTTGAAAATATCTCCGCAAAAGTTATATATATGCATATATATAAATGTTATATAGTTATATATATATGTATATCTTGCAGAAGTCGCAAAAATTACACTAATTTAAATAATAACGAATTTACTACAAGTTAAGTACAAAAAAATATCACGAACTACAGCAAATCCGAACCATAACCTAGCGTAATGTACCTAAAGGAAGCAAGCGATGTGTAGCCAGTCGGCAACGAGATTTTAATGACATTTTTATGCTCAAGATTCTCAACCGCAAAAACTTCCTACATGGACAATTACTTTCAGTGACAGTTAAAGTAGTTTCTGAATAAAAAACTTGCTAAGTGTGTAAGACGTTTAGGATCATATATTCTTCTTAAATATTACTTTTATAAATTAGAGCAGCAGAGATTGAAATATGCTCTACTAGTAACAATAATGCAACCCTGCTAACTTACATATTGCCTAATCCCTTAATCTTTGTAAGGTAGTCTTAATGCTCACTGCTCACCATGTATATATAAATTGAATACTTATTATACTACCTCTTGGGAGGGACAAGGGGTAGTCCAATAAGAAAGAGTAAACAAACAATCTAATGAGAGTGTGTTCAAATTTGCCTGACCGTTTCTTAAAACTTTACATAACAGCTAACAATTTTGCGATGGTAAGTACTAATAGGTATAATATTGAAATATGTTCAGGCATTGGAGAGTTAGTGTAAAACGAAGAAACCCTATGTAAGTTCATACATATAATATGTAAGGTATACTTCCCCTCGGATATCACCAACCGGTTGCGTGATTATGTCGGACTCGAACCGACCAAAAGCAGAAGCCGGGGAACTAGGTGTACCCTAGAAAGGAAATCGATGGTACCTGACCTGAGAGTTCTAAACCTCTTCCGGTCCGCTCCGCCATCTCCTTCGCAAGCACAATTTGCACTCTCGCTTCATACCATAGCGGCAATCATATTACCGAGCGAAAGCACTCCCACTCCGATGGCCACCACGAGGTCACGCCTCTGATCTGCTACTGTCGTACATTCTGCTAACTTGTGGAGGGCTGTGTCCACGGTCCAGTGATCGCAGTGGTGGCACTCAGGCGTTGGCTCCTTGCATATCAGACACAGGTGATCTCCGAAACAACCTTCCCCGGTGATCACTTGCGTCAGCCGGAATGAGAGGGTTCCGTGACGCCTCTCAAGCCAATCCTACAAAACGGCGTGCTAGACATCTATTAACCCTGAAAACATCACTCTCCTTTTGTGGGTAGTCGTGTAAAAATATATATAAATATATATCTACATACAAAATTGCATTTGTGTATGAAATGCCCTGTGCATGAGTCAGTCACATTTGTCATAACTTTAAAAACCATACCTATTGTTATCGAATTTTTACATTGCTCTTCTTCGGTGTCCCAAAATTATAATTTTACACAAACCTAACTAAACTGTAAAATATATTGAACTAAAATAATATCGTACATATAGTATGAACCAAACCCGTACCTCATATTCATGCACATAAATAACGTTTCAAAGCTTGTTTTGTATTCGTGACTGTTGACAACTGCACGAATCTGTTTAAGTACATACTAAGCATGGATTCGTGCAGTGCCTACATTACCGACACATAATGTATGTTTCTGAAATGCATTTTAAATTTTATAATTGCAAATAAATTATTTTAATTTCTCTATTATATAAAAAAACAATTTTACAAGATGCTGACAGCTGTTTAAGCACGGTTTTTCCCCAGTTCTAATGGAATAATATTATGTCCTTTATCAATATTTGATAAAAAACACCTATTAGGTATTAGGTATTTAGGTGCATTATTAACCATTTCGATCTACTAGCCTACCTACTGGGTCAGATCAAATCAGTTTCCATGCAATCAGCTTCTCGAAACGTTGAAATTTGAAAATACATACGAACTAAATAACTAACCAACTAAACAAAGGAATAAATAACATTTTACAGGCCACGAACAGTAAAGGAACACACTATTGTGTCATCTCGACTTTTATGTACTTAGAACATTTTAATTTGCTAACTTTAGGAGAGAAAAGATTTTGATAATTTTAATAAAAATGTGATAGTTAGAAACTAACATCAGTTTTTAGTTAGTTTCCAGTTTGTATTTGTTACCTTTAAAGGTTCTGACTAAATAAAAGAGTTACATTTAATAGTATAGTTATTTTATTGGCATTATATTATTCATATATTGGGCAAAGAGCTGTTGGCTTTGTAATAAATGTAATAAATGAAGTTACTTCGAAATTTATGCTTTCGAAATTATTTTCCATGAAAAGCAACGAAATAATTATTAAAAGACAAATCCACTAAGAGTTTGTTTGTTTGTTAGGCGTTCACATTTAACTACTAAACCGATTATTTTGAAATTGTACATGTATGTTGCGTAAGACTACATGCCAAATTAATAGACTAACATTTAAGACACTTTAATTAAACCCATTCTTTATTTCAGGGCAACATGTCCATCTTCCCTCTTTCACACGTGGGAGACGCTACTTCAAGAGGTGGAAGCAGACGTCTTGGGGTATAATAATGCAGCCCAGTCACTGGAGAGGCTGGTAGCCACACCGCTCATGGACCGCACCTTTCACATGAAGGTCCAAGCGAGAAAGCTATTTGCGCATCGGGAGGGCTGCGAAGTCATTCTCGGAAAAGCTGATGACCAACTTAACATGGTGAATATAAATATACCACTAACTGACTCACTGTTATCATGAATAGAACTCGTCCTATCGTTATGACATAGATGAATATGAACACACGGCTTAGTTGACAGTTATGGTGGCTTTATTAAATAGTTAGGTCATTGATAAATGTTTTAACCACAAAGAATAATGACAAATGATTAATCTTAGTCAACTATAATTAATGTACCGAAGTCCATAGTGATATTTTAAAACTAAAGACTGGGTGTTAGTTTGTGAGCATTAATCTGAGAAACATTTTATTAACCTTGTCAATTAAGGTCATTGTTACATAGGAAGATAGATATATACATTTAAAAAAATATTGTTAGGTATCACCTATACTGGCGGCCCAGAAGGTCGCCGATGGACGGAGCCTCCTGGTCGGAGGTTTCCTGAGGGCGCAGGCACGGCTCCTGCAGGCCCGACCGGCAAGGTGCTTCAGGTGCCTGTCGGTGGGTCACGTAGGGGTGCACTGCACGGCGGAGGCCACCGTAGGTGACCGATGCTTCCGCTGTGGCCAGCCCGGTCACAAGGCGGGTGGCTGCAACGCTCCGCTGCGTTGCTTTAGGTGCGCAGCGGGGGGCAAGCCTGCCGACCACCGGGTTGGTGGTAAGGCCTGTGCCCTATCGCGACCGAAGCCGGGAGGCCGACCTTCCGCCTCCGAGCCGCTGATCCAGACGGAGAGTGCCGCTGGACAGCCGCAAAGCTCGCTGCGGGATGCGGGGATGGAAGTCCAGTGATGGATCCACATCTCCGCATCCTCCAGGTGAACGTAGGCCACGGTGCCGATGCTCAGGATCTTCTGCTCCAGAGCATGGCACAGTGGTCCATCAACATCGCCGCTATCGCCGAGCCATATGTCCATCGGTTTCTCGGGCCTGCCTGGGAGACCGACTTGGACGGCACGGCGGCCCTGGTGCACGGTACCGCAGCCGGCACTCCACCTCTTGCAGTAGTTGCAAGGGGACGGGGCTGTGTAGCGGCGATAGTTGGAGATATAGCGGTCGTGGCCGCTTATTTCACGCCGAACCGAAACCTAACTGAGTACGAGCAATGGCTCGCTCAGCTGGCCGTCGTCGTCGATGCCTGTCGCCCCCACCCGGTTCTTGTGCTGGGGGACTTCAACGCCTGGTCGCAGGCTTGGGGTTCCCTGCGCACGAACCCGAGGGGCAGGGCATTGGAGAACTGGGCTGAAAGATTCGGCCTAGTTCTCCTAAACCGGGGGGCCGTGGCCACGTTCGTGACGGCGAGGGGTAGTTCGATCGTGGACATCTCGTTCGCGTGCCCCTCGCTAGCGCGTCGTGTCCAAGGCTGGCGCGTCGTTGTCGGGGAGGAGACAGGTTCGGATCACCGATATATTCGGTTTGACGTCTCCGCCCCTGCAGATGGCGCGCCGGTCAGACCGGCACCACCTGAACCACGTTGGGCGCTCAAGCGCTTAGATCGCGACCTCCTCCTGGAAGCCGCCATCGTACAGGCCTGGGCTCCTGCGCCGGACAGGCCTGTCGACGTCGATGCCGAAGCACAGTGGTTCCGGGAGGCCATGACCCGCGTCTGCGATGCGGCGATGCCTAGGGCTCAGCCCAATACTGCAAGGCGCCAGGTCTACTGGTGGTCGCCGGAGATCGCACGGCTGCGTCAAGCCTGCGTGACCGCGCGCCGCCAGTGGTCCAGGTTCCGCAGGAGGCGTCGCCGCCCCGAAGATGCGGCAGCGAGAGAGGCGGAGCTGTTAGCGGGGTACAGGGTTGCCAAGAGGACCCTTCAGGCAGCGATAAAGCGGGCCAAGAGCGAGGCCCGCCGCGAGATGCTGGAGACACTGGAGCGGGATCCGTGGGGACGCCCCTACCGTATGGTTAGGGGCAAGATGCGCCCATGGGCCCCGCCGCTCACACGGTGTCTTCAGCCAGAGCTGCTTGAGAGGGTCGTTGGCTCCCTGTTCCCAACGCGAGTGGTGGAGCATACTCCGCCACAGATGGCTCCGCCTCCGGCGCTTGAGGCGCCTAACGTGGATGACGACGACGTGCCTGAGGTCACTGGGGTGGAACTAAGGGTGGCGGTGTTACGGCTTAAAGCCAAAAACACCGCCCCGGGACCCGATGGCATTCCTGGCCGAGCGTGGGTCCTGGCCTTAGTCGACGAGGCTCTCGAGCCCCGACTGCGAGGGTTCTTCAGCGCATGCCTCGAGCGGGGCCAGTTTCCGAAATTGTGGAGGACGGGGAAACTGGTCCTCATCCGAAAGGAGGGGCGCCCGGCGGACTCACCGTCCGCCTACCGGCCCATAGTGTTGCTTGACGAGGTGTGCAAGCTCTTTGAAAGAGTGATTGCAAGGCGCCTCGTCAAGCATCTCGTGATGGTTGGGCCGGATCTGGCGGACAACCAGTACGGTTTCCGTCAGGGGCGCTCCACCGTGGATGCGATCATGCGCGTGAAGGCTCTGGCGGAGGAAGCAGTCTCTCGGGGCGAAGTGGTGTTGGCGGTGTCCTTGGACATCGCCAACGCGTTCAACACTATGCCCTGGAGCTGCATCAGGGAGGCGCTCGTGTATCACGAAGTGCCTCTCTACCTCCGCCGCATAGTCGGGGCATATTTGTCGGAGAGAGCCGTCGTCTACCCCAGTAGGACCGGTCTCGGTAGGCGTGAAATGTCGTGCGGTGTTCCGCAGGGGTCGGTGTTAGGGCCACTCTTGTGGAACATCGGCTACGACTGGGTGCTTCGTGGTGCCTTCTTGGATGGTGTCGCCGTCGTGTGCTACGCGGACGACACACTCGTGACGGCGCGCGGCAAGACGCACCACGAGGCAACCCTGAGGGCCACGGCCGGGGTTGCCCAAGTCGTTGAGCGTATCCGGCGGCTGGGTCTCGAGGTGGCTCTGCACAAGTCCGAGGCCCTGTTCTTCCACGGGCTTCGGAGGAAGCCGCCTGAGGGATCTAGCCTCACGGTAGGAGGCACTCGCATCGGCATCGAGCCCTCGATCAGGTATCTGGGGCTCGTACTCGATGGCCGATGGGACTTCGGATATCATTTCCGAGGTCTGGTCCCTAAGTTGGTTGGGGCAGCGCGTGCGTTGGCGCGGCTGCTGCCCAACATGAAGGGACCCGATGACTCCTGCAGGAGACTCTACTCGGGGGGTTGTGCGGTCCATGGCCCTTTACGGGTGCCCGGTATGGGCGGGGGCCCTGAAGGCCAGCAACGTCGCGATACTGCGACGACCGCAGCGAATGCTGGCCATCAGGATCATAAGGGGGTACCGCACGATCTCCTTTGAGGCAGCGAGTCTCCTGGCCGGAACTCCACCGTGGGACCTGGAGGCGAGAGCCCTTGCGGCACTGTATCAGTGGCGCAAGGAGGCGCAGGAGTTGGGTCGATGCCCCGAGACTCGAGAAATCGAGGACCGGAAATCCCAACTCCGCCAGGTCATCATAGGGGAGTGGAGGGAACGACTCGGGCAACCGAGCGCCGGGCACGCCGTCATTGCGGCGGTAAGACCCGTTATGGAGGATTGGCTCGAGAGGCGTCACGGGACCCTCTCATACCGATTGACGCAGGTGATCACTGGGAAGGGATGTTTCGGAGATCACCTGTGTCTGATCCGCAAGGAGCCAACGCCTGAGTGCCACCACTGCGATGGCCAGACCGTGGACACGGCTCTCCACACGCTGGCAGAGTGCCCGGCGTGGGTTGAGCAGAGGCGAGACCTCGTGGCGGCCATCGGAGTGGGAGTTCTCTCGCTCGATAGCCTGATTGCGGCTATCGTGCGGAGCGAGAGTGCGTGGAACTCTGCCGTCTCCTTCTGCGAGCAAGTTATGCTCGCGAAGGAGACGGCGGAGCGGGACCGGGAGAGGTTTAGAACTCTCCCGGCCCGCCAGGCCCGGGCACGGGCCAGGCAGCGCAGGCGACTCAGGCGCCGGAGGTCGCAGAACGACCTCCGTCCTCCATAAGCGCAGGCCTGGGGGTGACAGGTGAGGCCATCTGTCACCCTAGCAGAAGCAGGCCGGGGTGGCGGCGAGCGCGTTGCGAAGCGCGCTCGCTTCCAGGGAGCACAGGGAACATGGGGTTCCCACACGGGGCGGGGGTCGTCTACTCGTCTGTAGATGACCCGAGGTATGTCGGGGCACCAGGGCCTTCCTTTCTAGGGTATACCTGGTTCCCCGGCTATTAGTACCCGGCGAAGGCGTGCGGTTTTAGTCGGTTCGAGTCCGACATGCCACCGACAGGTGGTATCCGAGGGGATTTCCGCACGGAAAAAAAAAAAAAAAAAAAAAAAAAAAAAAGGTATCACCTATACTACTACTATATTTAGGAAGCAAATGCAGCCGCGGGCAAAGTCCAGTACATTGTATACACATACATATATTGTAGATACAACCAAAGTCAATTTCCTAACGTTGAAAATTAATTTTGCGTACGCCTAGAGCATGTGTGTATGATGAGGTGAGTGGAATATTTAGAGGTACTGTTAACTATTTACTATCAGATGGAGCATGTCCTTTTTTGAATAGTTAGCTTTAATTGCCATTTTAATTACCTTCAATGCATACAAATAAAATACAAAAGCTTTATCAATTCTGTACATACGATTTTACATTTTAGAAAGTGTCACCGCCTGCATAATGATATTTTTATCTTGGTATAAGAGGGCTAACGAGTAAACCGGTCACCGTGGGGTTTGAAGGCGGAAGTGCTCGACGAAGTACATATAGCGGCGGACGACTGAGTTCTGGGCGGTTAGCGGCAGTCGGCCCCCGCCCGAAGAAGTACGCCAGTGGCGTGAGGCCGCTCGTCGAGCCACTATGGCTCGTTGGTCGTTGGTCGGCTGGGGGCTCCACGTGCTGGGTTTGCCACTGTGGAGGCGCTCCAGCCGGTCATCATCGAGTAGGCAGGGCAGCAGCACGGGACCCTTTATTTCCGACTGACCCAGGTTCTTTCCGGGCACCGCTGCTTCGGGAAGTACCTGCACTTGAATAAGTCTAAAAGGGAAGTACCAAAATACACAAAAAATAGCGAATCGGTTCATAAATGACACAGTTCTGAGGTAACAAATGTAAAATAAACAAACGGATTGATAACTTGCCTACTTTTTCTAAGTAAGTTTCTAAGTCGGTTGAAATAAATGTTATACTACTGTACGCAATTACTAGATGCTCTATCTATAATAATAATAGACTGTAAACTGCGTCTTTTATTATTTGAAAATGTGAAACATATAAGCTGGATCCATTGAGCAAAAAAAAAGTGTTCTTTCAATAAACATAAGTGAATATCAGTTCAAAGACACAATCCACTACAAATTTTGACAGAGCTCTGATTTAATACTGTAGCGAACAATTTGTGGGGCTTCGTCCGGAAATACCTTAAGAAATTGGATATAAGCATCCGTCCAATCTCTGTAAGAAGTGTGAGTAAAGTACTCGTATCTACTCAAAGCTTTCAAAAAGAACAGACATATCTACGTGATAATGTCATTACTTACTTGTTTTCTTAAGTATTATTGTACCTATACACTTTTGTCATTTTTTTTTAAGTATTTGTTGTGTGTGTGAGTTCGCCTACTGACTGCCTACTATTTAACTGACATGCTGTAAGAGAATGCTTTGTACAAATTCACTGAATATAGATAATTGTGGGACCTTCTTCTTTGTATCCTAGTTGCATACAAGTTATAATCATCGATCAGCCTATACAATAGCAATCCACTGCTAAACTATATGCCACTGATAAACATTACCCAATATGCACCATAGTTCAGCAACCCATTGTTCATATTAGACAAATTAATTAGATCTAAATGCTACTGTAATTTATTTTCAATGTTAAGTAGATTTATAGGTGATCCTTAAGTTTATGAGTCAGTAACTGCTTAAAACGTAAAGTTTCACCTTAACCTCTGCATTTTTAAATTTATAGAATACCCTTAAAGCTTAAAAATTTCGCTAGACTTCACTATCAGACGGTGAGACAGACTTGAAAGTGGAAGCAATTGTAAACATTCCCGAGTGGCGAAAAGTTCACTTAACGAGATGTAAATAGAATTTTATAACTCATACACTCATATATATGGGCGTTTCGTTTTATATCCTGTAACTATGTCCCATTTTAGATACATAATAACATAGAAGTTCACATAATAAACAAGGGTAGTTTTCAAGAATATTACTAACAAAGAAGACATTGGTATTCAATTATGTATTATAATTGAACTCAAAATATATTTGAGTTCCTAAAATACTTTTATGCTTTGACCTCAGCAGTAGGTATTATCGTAAACATTCCTTTACAATCGTCTATTGTTTTATCAAAAATATTGTGATAAACACTGAAATTATATTTTAACTTTAAAATTTAAATTATATTTTTTTACACAGTAGTGTACTACACACAATGTCTTTTCGAATAACGAACTAAATACCGAAATGCGAGGTAGACACGCGACGGAACACGGAATCTAGATAAACTGTGCCTATACGCCTGCATTATAGTGTATCCTTTACATTCTTTGTTTCCTATACAATTTTCTTCTTAACCTGTTTAAACGTTAAGTGTTTTCTTTTAGAAAGTCATATTTTGGTTTCTATTGTATTACAATTTGCATTTTTAATTATATTGGAATTGCCTTTGAACTCTAGGTAATTAAAACTTAGCCAGAGACTTGTAATTGAATAGCAAACTTTTCCATCTCACTCTCCAAGTAGTTTTATCTTCAGATAAAGACGACAATCATGACTCACCATTTTATTAATTCGCTTAAAATTATAACGATTAAAAGCATTTCGGTTACTTTAATTTACTTAGTATTTATCGATATTTCTGATTATCATATACTGTAAAAATCTACGTCAAACCGATGCGCGACTTAAAAGGATAAGAGATTGGGAGTTTGAATAGGTAGGATTTTATTGCCTAGATTGTACCTTTTAATAATTATTTTTTAACCAAAAGTATTGTTCTTTTTTAACACGCTTTTATTAGCTTGTTATGTTTGTCTGTAATGGGATCTTCGAACGTAATTTTAATACACATTTTTACGATAAAATGATTTTTCTTTTTAAACTTATAGAAAAATATTTTCTACTTTTAAATAAAGCTATCTTTCACTTTTGTAGACTTGGGTCTCTGGCTTAGTGGTAAGAAATAAAAAAATGTTTTATTTCGTACCACTAAGCCGCAGAGAAAGAACAGTGAGTAAAAAGATTTTTAAAAACCTGATGGGATTATTTTGTTGTTAAGATCTCTACAAATATGTGCACATAAATGCAATAAACATAAATGTCTGCGATCTCGAGAAGGTAGAAACTACATAGATTTTATATGAATGCAATGAAATACAAAGTTACCAAATTTAATAAGATTATCTTCTTATCAATCTTATAATAATCTTATCAATTTTGATAGTTTTCGAACCAAAAAAGGAGAGTCCGAAAATTGTTAAATATAAAAGGCGTCCGTACCCTTGAGTTAGTATAGATACATTATAGTATACAAAAGTTTGTAATTTATTCGATTGGTAATTTATATTTTACACACGGAAAATTGACTACTACGTATGCTGGTGTACGGAAAATAGTATTTTTAAAGCGGCAAAATTAACACAAGTCAAAACCAGATAAAAAATATTCACGAATCGATGCTCGATGCCGGATGGATGGTTTTTTATTTCCTCAAATTAAGATCTTTTTCAAAACAGATGTTCAAAGTGAAATAGAGTTCACGTTAAAAAGGGCAATTCGTTTTGCTGATCCTATAATCCTCTCATGTAACGTGTACTGTTTTTAACTACCGATATTCGGTTCATATTAACAGCGTTCGTATGTGATCTCTCCACGGCTCAGCGGGAGCACAGTACAGAGCAATCAAAAGTGCGGTCGCCCTTTACATTATACAAACTGTAGGTAAAGGTTATCTAGCCTCTATGAAAGTGATTGGAAATCAGTATGTTTATGGCATTCATTTTGTATCGCAGATTATTTTTCATTTGTAAATTACTATAATAATAAAAATGCATGTTATATATTATTGTCACTAATTAAAATATCAATAAAGTATTGCTAATCTGGCATGGCTGAATCGATCTTGATACTCAATTAATATTACATCTGTTAAATATAAACAATTTCAGTAATAAAAAATATTCTATCCTATTTAATGTTTTAAAAAGTAACTTACATAAAGCTTAGAAACAAAAAGTTTATCGGCTATCAATGTCTTCTCTTATTTATCTGTTTATTTAGTACTCCTAGCCCTAGCACAAGAAATAGTAGGTATATTTAATTGTAACCCAGTTTTCTCTTCACTACGTTTATATATAGCTTTCGAACGTTTTCGAACGCTAAATAATGTAAAAATATTGATATAATGCAACGGAATCATTAAACAGAAAATTCTGTAATGTGTAAAAAATTCTGTAATCAATTTATCATAAAGAAAAACGGAAATAATGTTAATCTTTTTGCTGAACGTTGAGGTGGGAAAATCGTCTGAGTCAATTTGTAAGAAGCGGATTTGTATTGTGCTTGAAAATGCTCTGACCCTTTATAAACAGCCTTAAGTGAATCACAATCAATCTCTTTAAAACCGAGTTCGAAAAGAAGTGGTTCTCTATTTGACTGAACAATTTCTTTTTTTTGTATATTTTTGTATGTTCATTATTTTTTTTTAATTAAATTGGTTGCATCTCAAAATTGTTCTCTTATAAATTTAAAAATAAAATTCCACACACACACACACACACAAAGAAAATTAAGGAATGATACATCATATTAGGAGTAGGCCAAAACCTCCTTCCTACGGAGAGGCTTATGTCCAGCAGTGGACTATTAAAGGCTGTTGATGATGATGATGATGACATCTTATTACAATTCATCCTAATTTAAGCAAATTACAGTTGGTGATTACTTTTTTAAAGTTAATTTTCTACATATTAAAAATTTACACGCAGCTAGTCTAATCCACCTCCTCTGTTTTTAATGTAAACGCAGTACACCATAAAGCGTACTTCGACTAAACTTACCTTAATTTAAGAGGCTTTAAAAAATAAAACTTAATTTGATCTCGAAAGCATCTTTTAATTCTACGGTATATTTTTTTAAATAGGACAATGTACCTAGGACAAGGTCATACATATAAATCGAGAACAAAACTACACAAAAAATGCATATCACAACTTTTTGACATTATGTCACGTGTATAGGAGTATTATTATTAAAATAATATTATAACACATACTCATAAAACTAATTTATGCAATAACTTTGCAATAGATATAAGACAAAGCCTCGTAGGTTGAAATGTAAAAAACATTTTGCAATATGCCATCAAAAGTTTTCGAGCAATTTAAGTTAACAATTTTAACGCAACCACTTCCTAAATATTGATATTCTTTTTTTCAGAGTCGTGAAGACTACAGAGGAGCTTTCCTGAACTACTGCACCAACCCAAATCCAGCTACTTTAGCAACCTACTACGATTCACATAATACGTATGTGCAGCAACTGACGGCCACCAACGCGATGTTGGATCAGTACCACAAGCATACGCTTCCGACCATTTTGCAGGTAAGGATCACTAATACTTGCTTAATGAAGACATTGATCTACATATTAGGGTTGTCAACTGTTTCAAGAATGATGAATATTTCTAATAGTTTCCTAAGTCCCTCGTAATTTTTAATTACTTCATTATGATATGATCTCGGGTAACTTTTGTTTTTGTTACCGGTAGTAAATGTAATTTTCTATTATGTTTTGAACAGCTATTAAGAAAAATACCATCCTTAATCTTAAGCTTTAAGATTTGTAAATAATATACTACGATATTAATTATCTACTCTAAATCCAACACCTATTTAATAACTTAACATTCAGAACATTTCGTACATTATGTAAATCACTTAATCATGAGATAGCGTTCTCTAGATATTGGTCCATTAACTTGTTAAATAATTCAATAAATCGAACGGATAATTACATGATCTGTGCTTGAACTTAAAGTACAAGCAATCTAAAACTTAACATCTTTTAAAGTATATGAAAAGGTCCAAATAGATAAGATTGAAAAGAAATAGGCCAAATCCCAGGACAATTGATATTGACGTATGACAACAATTGGGTCGACGTTCATTGTCCCCATAGAGAGATGTTGAACAACCCTGATTAGTTGAAGAAGCTTCAGACTTGTACTAATCTCATTTTCAATTATACTGACTTATAAATGTATAATATTATAATCACGTACTTACAGATCTCTAATCTGATTTTGATTATGGAATTTCTTACTTATATATTAATTATATTTGGCCTGCTGACTAATACATTAATATTTTTATAGACACACTAATCACTTCCTATTGATATTTATACTTTGTTAGGTAGTACTGTAGCGTTAGGGTATTTTCCTTAGCAACTTAATAAATAAGTACATAGTAACATACATATAAATAATAAATTGCTATAGGCTCAGAATAAATAATCATGCACGTCATACAATTGTTGTCCAGGTTAGGAATCGAAGCCATGACCTCTGGCTCAAAAGTCAGGATAGTCAGTCATAGTCTAAATATATTTATATATATTCTTTTTACATACTAACATATCTAAAAGGACTAGCGTTTGTGGACCATTAACATTGATTTCTGCGAAGACAACAAAAATATAGAATCATATTATAAGATCGCAGTTTTTATTATTTCAGGAATTGGAAGAAATATTAACTGATGTAACGTCGGCTGTCAGTGAGGCTATTTGGCAAGAAGGCGAAATAATTACAGATAAGGTATGCAAAATCAATAATTTTAAACAAAATGTTTCACAAACTCTTTCTAAAAGCTCTAGTTTCTGAAAGTTATGTGACATTTTCTAGATTAACCAGTAAAGTACAACTTGCTCACGTAGTCATGTCGCTGTCTGTCTGACTCAACCTTAAGTTTCTAAACCTTATATGCCCAAAAGTCACATGATTGGTTGGAAACAAAAGAAGTGCTTAGGGCAGTCTGTAGATTTATGTTTGAATAAGAAGTTTAAGTACTACATTGGCTAAAAGACAAAAAGCTTTTACCGTTGTATTACATAACCTCCTTAATGGACTCTGAAAACTTTTCTTAGCAGAACAACAGAATACAAGGCCAACCACCGTGTTTTTAACGAGCTGTATGTTTATTGTAATCATCCGTGTTTACCGGTATTATTTAGGAGCACATTTTTTGCCAAATAACATGATACCAAAGGCACTGAACTAATTTGGTATATTAATAACTGTGAGTTCACTTTCATTAACAGAGCAACGCTCAGCTTCGTCGGTACGAGTCTCTCTGCGCCCAAGCTCGCGCAGTGTCTAGTACCGCAGACTTGGCTCACTTGGCGCGTACACTACTAACCGCCCAACCGTCGATGCGCCCACCTAAGAGGACCTTCTTGCCACCTTACCCACCAGAACCTGATGATCCAGCACTAGATGTTCCTGCGGTAATTTGTTCGAATTACTTAATCATTAATTCTCTTATTTTTTTATTTTTTTTTTTAGGCCTTTTCTTAGAAAGGAGGTTTGGGCCTACTATAACATGCTGGCCAGACGGGTTGGTACACGATTTGTTTCAAATTTTCCTTCTCTTTACCAAATGTAACTTGCCTCAAATATGAAGAACTGCAGAAAAAATTAAACTTACATTACCTTTAATAATAACGGGATTATAAAATAAATAGTTCCTAATAAATAAAAATCATAGTCAACAAAGTGATCAAATTTATTACAAAATATGACCTCCAGAAGACTAGGAAAACTATAAATTTTACTCTTTTGGAATAATTAAAAACCTTTTATCGAACTTCCTTTTATAATGATGTTTAGGCTGTTAAAATGATAATTACGTAATAACTAGATATTGATTTACGTGAGTAATGAAAAAACTAATGAAAGACAGTTTAAAATCAGTAGTGCCGGGAATTCCGAGTTAGGTTATTTGGATTTAAAGTAGACTTGCAACGAATATTCGGTTACTATTCGGTATTCGGCCTATTCGGCTGCTTTTATTATATTCGGCCGAATACCGAATATCTACATATTATTCGGCCGAATACCGAATACTTAAATAATATATTTTGTCATTGAGAAATAATTGGTAAAATGAAAAATTAAAATCGATTGATTACGTATATATTCATATTTTCATTTCTGTTATAATCATTTAAGTAGTCATTGGTGCATAACACAGGTACATAATCATCTTCTGAATTGGAAAAATGGAGGATTCTATGTATTTGAATTATTGTGGTAATCAAAATTTAGAAGGGTAAGGTTCTCATTTATTTTATAATCATTTATTAAGTAGTCATTGGTACATAAAACAGGTACATAATTTAATTCACGTCTTTACAAGTTTTTGGCGCTAAAATCCAGCCGAATACTTTTGCCTAATATTCGGTATTCGGTATACTGCCGAATATACTATTCGTTGCAAGTCTAATTTAAAGGGTTCATCATTTTGACTGTAACGGAAATCCATTACTCCATTTGGTTAAGATAATCTTTCCGTGTCACGACGATTTACAAAATACAATGTAAAAAATGCGATTATGGGACGTTGTAGTCGCTCAGCGACAAAGTCCTTTTATAATAAAAAAAAAAATGCGATTGAAAGTTATATTTTTTGCTATAACTTTATTGATAATATATTGATAGTATAAACTAGAGCTGCTGTTTATTTATCACTTATTGGGGTGAGGCCGAAAAGGGAATAGTTGAAATTGCTTAAAGGATTACGCGTAGAACTTTGTAACGGATGCCATTAAACGTTTATCTGATCTTTATTTTAATGTATTTATCCATTCCATCAATTCTTTTACTTTTAAATACTATTTTAGTAACGCTAACTCGTTTTGCATAAAATATATTTTCAGTTGATGTTGATGACTTTAAACCCAAAACATTAATGCGTCTTAAGACTAAACGGAGAGTTATCTAAGAAGACAATGTAATATAAATTATTTAAACACAGATATGTACAACGCAATTTGGCACAGAAACCTTTTAAAATTAAATAAAGTTTTAATTTAAAAATCAAAAACGAAAATATGTATTCGAAAATAAAAATAGAACGCTTATTGCTAATAGTGTTTCTCATGAAAGATACATTTTAAAGCGTATGACTGACTGTTCATTTTCTGCTCCTTATAGAAAACCTGACCTGAAACTAGTGTAGTATTAATAAGTTCATTAAAACTTTTCACAAGGATAGTATCTTCGACTATTGCACAACGAAACTTCAACAAAACTATCTCTTACACTTCAGTAAAAGCTGTAGCGTGAGCTAGTTTACGAAGTAAAATTGGCGTAGTGAAATTTTAAACTTTGATAAAACATAAGGTGGTGATTTTGTTCTAAGTTGACGTTCGTATATGATTCATATTCGGTTGATATTAAAAGTCATTCGGTAAAACATTTTTTGACATAAAGAAAACGAATAGCAATTAAAATGTTATATTTCTGCGCAATTGAAAAGAGGTTGTGTTGTGTATTATTAAATGAAAATTAAAAACATGTTACAAAATGTAAAGGGAGTACCGCTGCGACGAAAAATGGAACCTTTTCAAAGCTGCTAGGAATCGGTGTAACCAGGTGACACGTAACGTACAGAATTCAAAACATAGAAACCTCTTCACCTGCCTGTGTGTGAAAGTTCGTTGGAACACTGGGCATTGGTAAACAACAACGCCCTGAGTTTGGGATGACAATTGGTTTAGATGATATCAATTGTCATTTCTCATCTACATCCCTGTTGGATCATCAAAACAAGCGTCAGACCTTGAGCTATATAGCTAGTCTACACCATCCCGATATTGAATTCATTCCTTTAACTTTTCTCCGGTATCATCTGAGGACATCAAAAAGATTATCCTGTCCATTGGTTCCAAAACTGTAAGATATGACGGCATCAGCCGTCGCATGATTGTCACTATCCTCGATCACATTCTGCCGCAATAGTCCATATGAAATGATCCGTCCATACGATATGATGTCCATATGATCACTTTTCACTCTACTCTGGCACCTTTTCCTCACTCTGGCACCTTTTCCTCACTCTGGCGTAAGGCTTTCATTGATGATGAAAGCCTTACGCCAGAGTGAGGAAAAGGTTCCAGAGTAGAGTGAAAAGTACGTAAAAAAACTAAACCCTCTCTCCCTGAACACTTTCGTACAATCTCTATAGTTCCTTTTCTTTCTAAAGGCTTGTGTACATAAACAGCTCTCACAGTTTGTACACCAGCAGAATCTTCTAAATCCTTTACAATCAGGGTTCAGGCCCGGTCACAGCACAATCACCGCTCTCCTCAAGATAACTGGCGATATAAGAGAGGATATGGAAGACACAGTCAACAGTGTCACAGTGCACAAAGTCACAGTGCACAAGACACAGTCACAGTGCTGGCTTTGATTGACTTCTCGAATGCCTTTAATACCGTGGGTCATGAGATCCTACTGGCCATCCTTTCCTATCTTATGATCTCCTCAGAAGCCCTGGAATGGCTCTCCAGCTATCTTCAGGGACGACAACAGTGTGTTCACATTGATGACTTGTCATCGTGTTGGTGTGATCTCCTCATTGGCATCCCTCAAGCGGTATATTATCTCCTTTATTATTTTCAATATTCATTAATCTCGTAACCCAACATCTTCAGCGTACATGCGCTCATGACTTACAATGGTATGGACATATCATACGCCATCAACAAAATCAATAAAGACTTGGACTGCGACTTGAAAGTGCTGGTCGACGAGGTTTGGTTTGTCAATGTCTTACCAAACCAAATGTCAAGTGATCGTCGTGGGAAGCAAGCAAATGTTAAGTAGCCTGGATATGGCGGACATGGCACCAGTGGTCTACACCTACTAAATTATTACTTCGAGTCCAGTGGGCCATGGCAAAGAACCTGGGCTTACATATAGACTCGACACTTGATTGGCGTGCACAAGTTACACACGTCTGCCAGAAAGTCATCACATGTCTCCGCGCTTTAAATCGTCTAAAGAACTTCCTTCTCGCTAAAACCAAGGCTACACTTATGCAGTCCTTAATTGCTCCATTAATCGACTATGGCGATGTGTGCTATTTTAAACCTGAATGCAGACCTTCTCAATATACTAGATCGCCTTCTAAATAACTGCATTCGATTCGTTTTCAATCTTCGTAAGTATGATCATGTGTATACTTTCCGCTCCCAACTACAATGGCTAACAATTTGTCAACGCCGCAGTCTGAGAACACTGACTTCTGTTTTATCTTTCCTCGACTCTCGATCGATACCTGAATACCTTGTTCCCCACTTTCGTTTCTTATGCTCCAATCACCACCGAGATCTTCGATCAATAAACAACATGCTTCTTTTATGCCGCTCACACCTCCAACTTTATCAATTCTTAATTCTACGTGCAGTAAATGTTTCTCTGAAATGCAGTCAGTGCTTCTCTGGAATGCACTCCCTGCCGAAATCAGGAGGGATCACAAACCGCCTACGCGAACTTCTTCGGAATGAATGGGCAGAACAATCACAACGCTAGTCGGGTACTAGCTAAGCGGGTAACTGTGTAGTTATATATAATATTAAATTTATGTATGTGTATGTTTATATTGTGTATGTATCGTTTATACTTCTCGACTCATATGTAAATATAATATATGTACCAAACTATGAACTATGACAAATTTGATATTTTATCTTTGCACCTACCGCATCATATTTCTACATCACCTGAAGGTTGACTGGGAGAGAATGCCTCATGGCATTAAGTCCGCCTTTGTACAACATGTTCATCAAGTTTAAATAAATAAAACATTAAACATGCATTTGTCGTCAACAACGACGAATTCGGAATCTTGATATAAAGTAGGTACTAAAAAAGAATTAAGAGCAAAAAGAAACTTACAACAATTTTTCTTATTACCAAACTTAAAAACCTTAGGAACGAAAAATTGAAAATGGAAAGTGGAAAATTTAAATCAACTCTCTAAATGTCTTCTCTATTTATTAAAAATACTCGTACTAACATAAAGGGTCTAGCAGGATAAGGTAGGGACACCGGCCACAGAAAGATATTTTGAAATTAAGTCATTAGGCAACATCAGCGAGGTGTAAAACTACAATTATCAGAAATTCAGCTTCTTATCTCGCTGCGTTCTGGAAATAATTGATCAAAAAGACGCTAGAGCGGGTATTTTTCAAAATTGTTTTTTTTCGAAAACTATTACAACAACTGCTGATGAATCAAAAACTGGTCGTTAGACAAAATATTAGTCTACATTAAATACTTTTATATAAATCTTCTGTCGTATTTACTATTAAAAAAAATAATTCAAGATTATATTCATAATTCACGCAGAGGTACAATCACAGAAAAAAATTATAAGAAATGTAGTTTACTATGTCTATTATTAGTACTAAAAAGTGCATAAATAAAAAAGTTGGTGCAA